AGATTAAAGTCAAACTATTATTAAATCAACTATAAGTTGGTATGAGATTATTATTTTCTTTGTTTTCATGATTTATAATATTTTACGATAACTTCATATGATAAAACGATATACAAAGCACACATATACACATATTTTTATATGTTTGTATTTATTTTTATGTGTCTACACATTTATTTTGTATATAAAAATGTCTTATATTTTGAAATATCAATAGAGAAACAAATTATAAACATAAAAAATTAAGAAAAACTATATATAACGGATCGGATATTCGGATAAACGGTTATTTAAACGGATGGATATTCGGATCGGATTTTAAACGGATCGGATATACAATTACCAGATCCGTATCCGTTTAGTAATCGGATATCCTTAATCGGATACGGATAATATCTGTTTAAAACGGATGCGGATATTTCCTCTTCAAACAGATACGGATGCGGACGGTAATCGGATTTTCGGCTATCCGTTTACAGCCCTAGTGGTCGCACCCTTTGAATTGGTTTCACGCCCTGTCAATCAAATACGTAACGCATGCTTCTAATAAAATTTTTAAGCTGGCTCCGTGAATAGAAGTAAAAAAATATGAAAACACATAAATAAAAGTCTTATGGTTTTTAACACTAAAGTAAGAATTTACACTGTCATTGTTATACCGTTGCATTGTCATACCTCAATTGTCACACTATAATTCGTCGATTCCAACCACCAGAGTGCTACAGCCGCCATTTTAGACCAGTAGTCTATTGGTAATTGACTGAACACATTGTCATCATACTTCTACGGAGTATTTTGGTTTTAAAATACTTAAAAGTCTTATTTGTATATTTTCATACTACTTTTTTATTTTGATCTAAAGATATTTCTAATGAAAAAACAATTATCATAGGATACATAAAATGATAAACCCTATTGTACATTAAGATTTTTATACACACACAGACACTCAATTTCTGTGTACAAAGATACATTGAGTGTTTGTATGCTTGTTAAAAGTTTGGTGAACAAATATACTACATTTATTGCACCCCTAGCATAGCTCATGGAAAAATCCTTTGCACACTCTTTGAGTTTGTTTAAAGATGTTTAAATGAGTTTTTATTTATATCAAATACCTTAGAATCCATCACAATTTTTAGCACACACAAATCCTCCTTTGTAAGGTAGCTGTGAGTATATTTTTAAAATTAAAGGTGTTGATAGTTTTATTACAGAACTGGGATACTCAGTAATAATTTTTTAGAATTTTTAATATTATTGGATTTAGATGAACATTTTAAAATCTTAATTAGATATATTATGATTTCAAATGACTTAAAATTCTAATTGACTTTTGCTACGTAAATTACAGTGCCATTTTGAGTTTTGCTCTCATCGAAGCTTCATATATGACTAAAAAGTATTATGTTTCCTGGATAAGACCAATATGTTTTATTTTTCTCTATGGCACATGATTCCATATGATCTGCCATATAGCTCTCATTAGTAGAAAATATTGGATAATAACTGATTATACAAATGACTCTAGAAATGTAGTCATTAGAATTCACCCTAAATAGGATTAAAACATAGAGAAAAGAACGAAAATAGAACTTTCATGTTTTTTTCCCTGAAATAGGACTTTGCATTGTGGTAATGTGACTTTGTAATGTGGTAATGTGGTAGTGTACATGTGCACATTAGTATTTTTTTTAGTAATGTATATGTCCATGTTTGGTAATGTAAGTCCTATTTCGGGAATAAAAACATGAAAGTCCTATTTTGATATATTTTCAATGTTTTAGTCCTACTTTGATCGTTCTCCCTGTAGTCATTAGTAACAAGTATTGGATAATGACTGATTATTTTAATGATTATTCAAATTGTTTTTAATAATATCATTTTTTACTTGAACTGGGTAATTGGTAATTTTCTTCGAAGAAGGATACTTAAGAACTTTCCATTATCAAATATTAGAGTATATATGAGTAGTTCTATTTAGAGAAAAGTGATATGTTTAACCTCATTTGCATAAATTACGCATCCACTCGGAGCCTTTAAAGATAATAAATAAAATAAAACTTGCTATTGGTAGCCGATGGTCCGCAGACACACTACAGAGGCTAATCCATCCAAGTCAAGACCGAGGTGAGCATCAAACCTTGCGATTTGCTAAATAATAATTTGATTAATCATAATTTATTTGTCTATTATATTCAAACTGAACCTTTTGTTATAAATAAGATCGTCTTTCTTTGAATTAGTTTCAAATGAGTATATAATCGTTGAAATAATTCTTTTAAGATTAGATTGTTCAAATTTGCAATCCAATTCACTGAAACAAGTCAATATTGAACTCATATCTATGTTTGTTTTGAATCTATTTTTGGTATATTTCAAGTTTTACAGAATCACCCAGAACTAAATTTTCAGCCTTTTACTTTCGACACAAAAAGCCCAGTTTTTGTTTTAATTTTTTGGTACAGCAGCAGAAAAGAAACCGAATTTTGTAGTTAGCTCCATTTTTGGTCCATTTTTAAATTTTTCAATGGACTTCGATATGTGTTCGGTTGATTCTAAATTTTCAGAATTATTTTTTTTCAGACTTCACTTTTGAATTTCAAAATCTACATTTCATTTAGGCTCCCTTTAGAATTGATATGATATTGTGTTAGAGTCTGTCCCACATAGGAAGTTGGATAGAAAAATAATTGGTATATAAGTTCTTGAGTTGAACCAAGTAATTGATTGGATTCAATCTTTTAATGTGGTTCATGCCATGTGTATTTTGACCCAGTTGATCCCTACCACATCTTAAATTCTATCATATTATAATGTTTTCAAATTCACTTTCACGCATTTTTGTGCTACCAAATAATCAACATATTTTTAGAATTGGTATGGAAAAATTGGACTATAACCGTTTCATCAATGTAACTTGTCTACTCCATTTTTGAAGTTTCTATCGACCATGTCGATTGATTTTCATTGTCACTTGTGCCTTGGTTCTGTGCTAGGTTCAAAATTGATGATGAATGGGAATAAGAAGAAGAAGAAGAAGAAGAAGAAGAAGAAGATGCGATGTTCTTCTCTTTAAATCGCAGGAATTCATCATTTCTGGACTTTACCATTTTATAAATCAATGTGGTAAGAGGATTGCTTCTACTTTGCATTGATATTCTATTTATTTATCGATCAGAAACTTGTGCAGATTATAAAGAATTAATTGCAAAATAAACAACAGGGAGTAATTACTCTTTTTTGAATCTGGATGTCATTTCCACTATTAAAAAAAGAGTAATGAATAAATTTAACAAGTGAATAGTTAACTGGCCATGGGCATTACCCAATACCCACGGGTGATGTTTGGAATAACATTGGGACAAACCAAACGAGTGGTGATGGTCTTCTCTTCCATATCGTACACGCACAAAGCCGTCATTCCAACTTCAGATGGAAGAATGATGTAAATTGTGTTCTCTTTAACACACTCATCGCCATTAGCATTCGTCGTGGCTATGGCTATGGCTGATGACGGTGATGATGATGATGAGGATCCTCCATTATTAACGGTGCTACACGAGAAAGAATTCACACTACTGATGAAAAACACGCGGTGGCCACCCAAATCATTCACTCTTGTCCATTTCAAGCTCTGAAAATCCAATTTGAACACCCAAATGTCAATGATTTTGTTTTCGTCCTCCATGCCATGGAAAAGAATGACCAGGTAGAGGTGGCTTTGAGATTCAACCAAGTAGTGTGTCCCGAACCACATATTTCTCACGAGCAGAGGATAAGGATAAGGGACCTTTCCAATTCTCTTTTTTCCTGGTAACGACAATGGCCTCGCTTCCATTCGCCCGTCTTCATCAAAACTCATCTCCATGAGTTTTTTATGCTTTCGGTCAAGGCAATAAATCTTGGTCCCGCAAAGGACAGAGTAAGTAAATGGCCGAGGGCGATCAAACTCTTGTTCCCTCCACTGTGGCTCTTTTGTGCCCCCTAGGCGACACCACATGGCGTGTTCGCCAAAACTTTGGAAGAACACGACTACACACTTGGGGTCGCCGGGAGGCGCGGTTAGGATGCAATGATACTTGGGTGAAAATCCAACATCACTAATCAAGGGTTTCGGCAACGGAGGGAGCTTGATCTTCTCCATGGAGACAGGGTTTAGCAAAAAACAACACTTGCTTGATTTGGGGTGCAAATCCAACATGACTAACCAGCCATGAGAGCTGCTGGTGTAGATTTGCGAGTTTGACATGTTTGGTATCCTCCTTTTCTCCCATTTTCCTGTTTCCACGTCGTAAAAGATCTGCCCTTTGTATTGTTTTTCATAGAAATATACAATCCATGGATACTGATTGCGCGGTGGTGGTGGTGGAAGACGAGCTTTCTCATGTTTCTACCTTGTCACCTGCACCTGCATTGAATTGAAAGAATGCAAATAAAATTCAGAATATGCCCTGCACGAGATGTTTGATAGGATGGCTGAAAGAGGAGTTAAACGGAGGGTGGATACATGTCTGATGCTAAAGAGTAAGTTTGGATCTGTTTTCATATAGTGAATTGGCTGAAGTGCTTAGTTTGCTTGTTGTGAGTTTATTTAGATAAAACAAGAAAACATACCCTAAGTTTTTTATAGTACATATATATGTGCAGGATATTGAAGTTCAAGTCACAATATATTATATATAGTGCTAGAACACTATACAAGTACACATATCTTGTCTTTGGTCAGGTAACAAAAGAGAAGCCAAATATAATAATAGTATTTCTTGATCTTATTACATCATTTAATTGCAGATTAAGCAGATCACAAAAGCATCTCCCTTTTCAGTTTCATCAGTCCATGGCCTGAAATTTAGCATCAGGTAATTTGATCATCTAATAATTTGCTTCCTTCTATATGAGCAAGGGTTCTCTTAACTAAGGTTATCTTTTTGTTCTGGGTTAGTTGTTCAATTTAGGAAAGTCTCAAACCGCCGCCTGTCGGGTATTTGGGACATCCCGAAATAAAAAAAACCCGAAACATCCCCGGTCGGGTACTTGGGACATCCCAAACTCAAAATCCTTTATTTATAAAAACAACAACAACCACATCCCAGTAGAATCCAACACTAGATAAAACCAACTGTGTGTGTGTGTGTGTATTTACTTCTGGACTAGAATTGGCATAGGCACAAATAAATTCTAATGAGCACTTATTTCTTCACATAAAACACATGCATTATTGTTTATATACATCCTATATATGAGTTTGGATTGATAATCAAATTAATTAACAAGGGGGGGCTCACCTCGAAAGTGGAGAAAACTTGATTTCGCCTTTGCTCAGATATGGGAATGAAAGATGAATAAGGAGCTGTTGATGGGGAAATATATATACATACTGTGCCGTGTAGGAACTGATCGATTAGCAATTAATAAATTATTGACAGCTTCTAATAATTGATCAAAAAAGTTGGAAATAGGCAGCTTCTTGTTTCTCTCCAAAAATCTCTAGCTTCCAAAATTCGAACTATACGGAGTATTTAGTAATTAGTACTCTTTCTATCTTAAAATTTACTTTCCATTTTGATGCTGGTGGTCAAATGTTTTGAACTTTGACCACATATTACAGAACAAATATATTGATTTATATATATATATATATATATATATATATATATATATATATATATATATATATATATATATATATGGAGATATTAATGGTCAAAGTTTTGTATCAGAGACAATAAAATGTCAAATGAGAAGCTAATTTGAGGATGAAGGAAGTAATCCATGTTTATTTATCATCGATTGTCGAGTTATGCTATTGCAATTTTAAAGTTCACATATAAAATGTAGTCTTTCTCGTATATTTCGTATCTGCTCATGATTGGTTCTTTTTCTTTCTACTAAGCTCAATGCATATAATCATTTTTTGTACCTAGATCCACAAATTAAAGGCCTTAAGACCATAAAGAATTTGTCTTGATTGTCACATACAATACAAAATGTGTCATTGTTGCAAGTTATTCAATTATACAATTATTATTTACTCCCTTTGTCCCATTTTAAATTGTTTGTTTTCTTTTTTTTTCTTTGTCCCAAAATAAGTTGCTTGTTTCTTGTTATCGTGAACTTTTAAGAGTAAAATACCTAAACTATCCCTAAAATAAGTCACTCTTCTCTACCTTATCTTCTCATTCATTGTTACCCTTCTTAAAAAGTAATAGCAATTTAGGAAAGTCAATTCAATTTTTTCTCTTTCTTAAATATGTCCTAAAGTCAAAACAAATGATTTAAAACGGGACGGAAGGAGTAGGTTAGAAACTCATCACCCTTAATATTATGGATGACAATCATCTTTGAATTTATGCACACATACGTTAATCGTCTATGAAAATACAAATTCCATAGGTCACGTGTGGAGTCTTGTAACAAGAACGCCATTATTCATTTTTGTCAAAAATGTCATTGCATTTTATTTTTTTTAACAATATTGTTGAAATCTCTAAAATGTGAAAAAGTGCTACTCAAGTTTTATGTTTGGTAAAAAGTACCAATCCCTATTTTTTTACTTTCAATAAGGTTATTGAACTTTTATAAAATGTTCAAAAATACCACTCAAATATTTTTAAATAAACACATTGCTTGTTAATGGGCAAAGACTTCGTTCCTTTTCTCTAATTGTATACTCCCTCTGTCCTTATTTTAATTACAAATTGTGGAAAATCAAGAAAAATTATCAGTTTTTTTAATTCATTTTATCTAAAGATGAGGCATAACTAAAAACTAAAACTTACATATTTAAAAACTACATCAAAATATTTACAAAACAAGAGATGACAAGAATATTTTATTTTATCAAATAAATAATGAAATACACAAATGAACAAAAAAAATCGTGCTTTTATAAACATTTTACTCAATTATAGGAGGGAAGGAGTTGATTTTATAAATTTTTCTTATTTGTTTTTGTGTGCTTCAACAGTGCATCTAGGTCCACAAGAATTAATTATTTTATGAAATAGTTTTGTAATACTTCTATGCCTCAAATTAATTTTCTTGTTTAGGTTTGGAAAACATTAAAAAAGTGAAATTGGTGGGTAAAATTGATGCACATGGGAGAGAAAGGTGATGAGTCACGCAATTTTTTTTAAAAAAAAAACAATCAAAACATAGATTGTTTTTGGACATCGCGAAAAGAAACCAAGAAGATTTTAGCGTATTTAGGTAATAGTATAATACGTCTATTCGTACGTTCATGTTTAAAACAGATCATTTTGTTAAAATATGTCTTTTTACATGTTGTATACGTTCAGAGTACGTATACGGATACGTTTGCGAATTAACGTTTGATTTTTTAAAAATATGGCTTACAATGGATGCACATATTTTTAATAAGAAAGACATTTTAAACTTTGAAATTGAATACAAATACACCATAAAAATTCTAAAAAATCAACCAATACCATGATTTATTATTTATTCATTTTTTTCATGTTTATCCAAAAGAGTTCTTTCAATCTAGTTTTTATTTTGTACTTCCACAAAATGTATTCAAAGTAAGAGCACATTCTTAAAAATTAAGCAAACATTTAGACACCATTAGAGCATTTGAGACATGAAAAAAAGTATACTTCTTCCGTCCAAAATGTAAACAACAATTACTATTTCGGCATTTCGAAAATTTTTTGTTTGTTTACTCGTTTTGATTAATCATTTAATAAAATAAAATTTTCTTATGGCATTTTACTTTGTAAAACTTTTGATCTATCTTAAACAGTGTGATTTTTACTTTTTATTTCTCTACTAATTTGTAAATAAAATGATTTTTAAAAGAGATCACATTTTACAGGTTATTTGAAATGTTGCTTATATTTTGGGACGGGGGAGTATTAATGGACAATTTGTGTTTTACAAAATTGATTAAATGCTCATCATGAATTATAAATAAGATTTAAGTCTCTTTATAAATTAGATATGAACTCACTAGATAAAGTTTTACACAATTTAAAGTTGAGTGAAATTAAATTAACTTTATAGTTTTTCTTTTATAAAATGAAAAATATAGTTACAAACTAAGATTTTAAGAATTCAGATCATACAAATGAAATTAAATTTGTATTTTTAAACGTGGATAGATATTTATTTAATCTTAAGAAGTAAATACAAAAATTTGATAACATTTAAAAATCTAAACAAATAGAGAAGATGTTGTTATCCACTATTCGCTAGAACAGGTGCAGTGTTGAACTTCGAGTTAGATGAAGTCGAAGAGACTAGTAGAGTGTGTGTGACATTTAATTAACAAAGGATATTGAGGGATAAGTTGGGGGGCAAAATAGCCCATTACAAGTAGGGGTGTTCAAAAATATCCGATCCGAAATATCCATCCACGATCCGGGCCGATCCGATCCGAAAAATGGATATCCAATCCAATATTGTTAGCTCTCGGATATCTCAGAGCGGATACCCGAGAAAAATCGGATCGGATAAAGATTCAATTTCTGGAATTTTTCGGATAACCGGATATCCGATTTTTTTTTTTTGCTATATGTTTTTGGAATTTTATGGATATATATTATGACTACATGTTTAAATGTAATTTTATGTTGATTTTGGAACTCAACCATTTTGGACTTTTTTGCATTAGCATTTTAGAATCTTTTGTTTTAATAGTGTTTTTTGTTTGTTTAGGCAAAATTACCAAAGTTACTCCCAAATTAAATTTGGTATCATTTTTTATTAGGCCATTACTTAGTGGTGAAATTTTTCATTTAGTAAATCTATATTTGATATTTTGGGTTGTTTTTGCTATTTTACCTTTTTTTTTGTAAATTTTGGCTAAAAACTCAACTTTTCGTATCCTTAAAGTATAAGAACCAAGGTTATTTTTGGAATTCCAACTCCCTATTTCTTAAAATTAATGGCGTAATTGACTTTGACGGAGAATGAGATAGAATGTCTCTCACGAGTAAGTTAATATATATTTGGAGGTACCCCAGAGTATATTTTAAAAATGTGAGGTACCTGATAGTTAGTTTCTCAAGATAGAGGATACCTTAGAGTATATTTAAAAAATGAGAAGTACCGATAGTTAGTTTTCTCAAAATAGGAAGTACCTAAGAGCAATTTTCTATGTTTCATTCCTAAAAACCCTTTGCTAGGGAATTTGGAAAAGAGGAATTTAAGAAAATAGCACTAAAACATAATGACTTTCCCTAAATAGCACTACATGTATTTTTTCCCAATGTAGCACTTTAAGTCATTATCCATTAGTCATTATTCAAGTAAATGTTTGCCATACTGGTCATTATAGACATTATTAAGTGCTATTTAGGGAAAAAATAATTTAAGTGCTATTTAGAGAAATGACTTAAATTTTAGTGGTACATAGTACAAATATTTCTTTGGAAAATCTATCTCCACATCCATCTTATTATTTATATCGAATTAAGAAGTTGGTGTTTTTATGTTTTCAACTCGGTCCCCATAAAATACCCGTAACCATACCCCATCTATGTGCAACTTAAAATTATGTACCCATACTATGAAAGGTTCAATTAGACTGCAGATTCAAATTGTAAGACAAACATTGGCAATAAACACCATTTATTTATTATTACAATGAATAAAAAAAGAATAAATAAAATAAAGTCATAAAGTTTTTATTCAGCACACTCAATACAAATAAATGAATAAATAAATAAATCAATTAATTAAAATGTGATGATCGAATAAACAAATTAAGTGGTAGAATCGGCTATATCAATATGAAACAAACGAGGGCAGCTATACACGGAACAAAATGCCTCTAAGCCCGAAAGCACTAAGAGCAAAATTGTTGCAAGCAATGTGAGAATCTTCCAAGAACCATAAATGTAGGACTTCATGAACTTCCCTACTTTGACCTTCCACCTACCATTATAGAACCTATTCACATCTTCAATCACCTTGTCCAAAAAGGGAACTTTGGTCAACCTTATTGACCTACTCATCCCATTCCATAGGTTGGCCACTTCCCCATCACTCTTCAAATGGTTCAAGACTATCCCCTTCTCCCTTAGCTCCTTGCAATCCTTCTCGCAATCGATTATCCCGTTCATCAGCTCGACGTAGCGCGCGAAGACCAAGGGCCCGCACGTGACGCACGACTCGTACGCGACCACGTTCCTCAGGAGGACTTGCGAGTTCACGTCAAGTCTCACCACGGGAAGATGGAATGTACCGGTTGCGGGGTCGAAGGTGATGCTTAGAATGCCTGACTTCGTGGGTAAGAATCGAACTCCTGATTTCGTGAGCTGGTACACTGTTGGGATGTTGATTTCTTCAAATAGTGGAGGTCGTTCTGAAGTGCCATCGGTATTGTTTTCATCAGACTTTTTGTTCTCTTGAGCGTCGGGGAAAAAACGTTGCTTCAAGTTTCTTACTAGTGGAAGTGAACCGATAATGTCCCATGGCAAGTTCGCAATGACATTAACAATACTCATAGGCCCACTTTTAGCATTGGAAACAAACTTCCAGGTTTGTTTAGCTAGCCTAGTAAAGATATTGTTGGAGCTACAAAGGGTATTATTGGTTTGATTTTCTTGTCCAAGACCATCC